CGGGGGAGCCGCTGGGAGTCTATCGGCCTGGAAGCAGGTAGCTAAATTGAAGACCACATCACTGTCCACCTTCTCCATCTTCACCCGCCCCAGGTCCACCTGGCTTCCAAGCTGAGAAAGCTCTGTGCCAGAGCCCCTCTTGCCGCTCGAAACCACGTCCAAGATGAGTTCCTTAGGGTGGCTGTCGTGAGGTAGCAAAGGCAGCTCAGGCATCTTGCGCAGGTTCTGAGGGGTGGCCAGGACCAGTTCGTGGGACATGTAGGTGGCCAGCACTTGGTTCTTAGGCTTTGTGTCTCCTGCCAGCTTCAGGCCACAAGCCCCCTGGGACCCTTCCATTTTTGGGGTGTTGTCCGAGCAGAGATGGCTCTCTGCTTCCTCGGGCCCCTGATTTACTCTAATGTCCCCACTGCTGGGCTGAACAGACAACGCCAGGGTCCCTGTCTGAGGACTGAGAGTCAGGAGGACAGGGTTGACTTGTTCTTCATAAGGCTTGGCAGCAATCCGGCAAGTTTTGTTCTTTGTGACGGTGTCCTGCTCTGGTCCAAAGGGGCCCCCAGGCCGTGGCTGTCCCTCGGGCAGTCCGTGCACGGCTTCACTGGAGCCGAGAGATGGCACACCAGAAAACTCTGAAACAACGCTGGTGGGCCTGATGGGTACCCCCTGAGTGGGGGGCAGCTGCCCGGCACTGGATATGCCAATGGAAAGCAGAGATGCTTGGTGATAGGGTGACCAGCCGACGGGCAGGACCTGGGTGCTGGTGGGTTTCCCATTGACTGAACACCGAGGGTAAATATTTGCTGGCCCCGTGGGTTTCCACAAAGAGAGCTCCTTGGTTTGGCAGCCTGGCAGACCAGGGGCAATACGTGCTGGGGTATAACGTTTACCTGTGTTTGGCTGTCCCTCGGCACCAGCCTGGCCCCCCTTCTTGCTACACGTGGCCCCAGTGTTCTTAGGCTCTCCTTGATCGATGATGGAGATGGGCTCCTGCTTGGGGAGATGGCGAGGGTCTCGGTTGAGGCCCAGGTTGGGGTCCTTGTTCAGCAACAGGGATGCAGGCACCGGGTTGGCTACCCCCACATAGGTGCCAGGAATGGTGCTGATCAGTGCTGTTGAGTTTTTCACCCAGGTGCTCGGGTCCCCGTTCCTCACGATCTCGGGGAAGATGACAAAGGGCGAGGCAGTGGAGCCCAGGCAGGAGGTGACGTTGCTGCCAGCAGCCTGGGTGGCACGCTGAGACCTAGACAGGACCGTGGACAGGAGGGCCTTGCTGCTGGTGTGCACAGGAGTCAGCACGGGCATGGGGGGCGTCTTGCGCTGGTTCGGCAATGGAAGCTTCTGGCGGTTGGACTTGGAGGAGAGGTCAAGGGGCATCTCGCTACACTCGGGTGGAGAGGCCATCTCTCGCTCCAGCTGTGGAGGTGACTTCAGGGGAGAGAAGGTAACAGAAGTCCCTTCTGTTTGCTGCTCGGTGCCACCTGGCATCTTGGCAGGGTGTGGCGGGGCCGAGCTCCCGCTGGGGGCTGGCAGCAAAGACTGTGGAGCTGGGAGCACCTTGGCAGATGCCGTGGTGAGCGACGTATCTGCCAAAGGCCCAGGCACCCCTTCAGGCGCAGGCTGGGCGGTGGTGCTACTGGATGGGGAGGTGCAGGGGAGCCTGTTCACCTCCAGGGGAACCACCTTAGAATCAGAAGTCAGAGGCCGGGCCACAGAAAATGCATATGGATAAGAGCGGAGCTCTGGGGAGGCCAGCACGCCTGGGAGACACCTGTCCTGCAGGTAGGATGGCAGG